AAGGCTGCTGGTCCACCAGTTGCATAGCTGGGTTCACAGTAGACTTGCGTTGTTAACAGTCTCTCGTATTTCATTTTCACTTCCATTTCTGCTGAAAAGCAACTCCAGTTTTTGGTAAATATTTAACGGAACTGTTCACCCATCTATCACAGGGTTTCCCAGACTTGGATCTCCAGCTGTTTTTGGACTACAACTCCTATCATCCCTAGTTAGCAGGACCAGTGGTCAGGGATGATGGGAACTGTAGTCCAAAAACAGCTGGAGTCCCAAGTTTGGAAAACCCTGATCTACCATGCAACTCTTGAACACTGATCATGGCTCAGAAGAAACAATGTAATAGTCACCCATAAACTAATGTTTTTGTTAGGACCCCAATGAATTGTGCATTCTCTTAGCTAGCCCACAGGGCACATTGTTCAGAAGACTCACAACATCTGTGGACACATGACCTATGCAAGCTCTGAGTTTGGCTGACCACACTTAGGAAAACTCCCTAACGAAAATGAACAAAGCTTTTCTAGAATCCCTTTATTTTATCCTGTTTTGCAAAGGTCTGGGAAGCTCAGCAGTTAAGATCGCATTAGGGGTAGTTGCAGCAGGGAGACTCATGCTAGGACAGACATGCCAGGTATGATCACAGTAGGTATCACCACATCTGAATCCGGGTAGGTATATGAGTTGCATAAGAGATAGTCAGACTATGCAAGCTCAGGTAACTGAATTAGTACCTTGGAGAGCTCACAGTGAGTCAGACTTGGCTAAGGGTGGGATTTTCTGAAAAGCTTGATGTTGAGCTTATCCACACATTTATTTATTTTTCTAATTCCCTTTTTGCTCCTTGGTCTCAAGTGTGTGTGTGTGTTTAGTGATTCTGTTTAAAACACAATTTACTTAACTTGTTGCAGCTCCAGTTGAAGAATGTATTGCTACTCAATGGTGTTTTGTGGGATCAGTTTCACCTTCTCAGATCAATTGACATGCACAAGATGCTGGTGGCAATGCGTCCAATCATGTGCCTATTAGAATTCCTGCTCTATGATTGCAGTCATGGGATTTTTGTCTATCACATGACCGTGTATGTTTTGACTCCGCAGAGTGGGAAGTGACGGAGACAGGATGTTTATGTTACTGTGTTCCGTGAAGTGGGACTATTGTCCTTTGTTCTTTTTCTCTTTGCTGTCTGATGCTAGAGAGAGAGGGAGCCATGTTGCAGTGCTCCATGTGTGTTTATATGTAAATAAAGTAGATTAGCCAAAATGCTGAGTTGCTGAGGTCTGCCACACGAACTGCGCAGACTCTGCAGATCCCTAAGTATGCCGGTGTCTGTTGGCATCGGTCACTGTCATGTTCGAGCTGAAGAAAGCTAATGAAGCTCCTGAACGATCGACCAGAAGGGAGGGAACATGCCAGTTGGGCATATGTCTCTGCCAGGGTCCTACTCGAGAGTAGGACGAGCTCCTGACAGTGCCCCTTCACCCTCTGTCCCTCCTGACTTATTAAAACTAGCGTGGGGGGGGGGGACTAACTGATTGGGTCCAGAGTGTGGTTAAAGCTTTGCTGCATGAGGTGTGGTCCCTGCTGCATTGAAAGAGGCAGTTGCACAATGGCTGCTAAAGAAACTAGCCCTGGACCCTTTGGTTTGGAACAACTATCGACCTGTTGCCAATACTCCCTTTTCTGTGCAGGTAAGCACAGCAAACATCTACACAGGTGAAGCAAGTTTCTCTTGCTTTCAAGTCACCACGGAGCAGATCTTGAGAGCGATGACAGTGTAAGATTTCCCAGAGAAACCTCTGACAATCATAGATAGGGCATCTTCAACACATGGGCTGAGATGAAAGCACCATGGAGGCTGGTTGCTTCTTGATGATGTCATCACTGTGTGCCCCACCCTCAGCACACTTCTGCAAAAATGACCTACTGTAGTTATTCCCCCTGCATTCAACAGCTTTGCGATGCGTCATACTAATTCTCCCCCCTTTCCCCCCTCCCTGTCACACTTTGCTGTAATCCGGCACATCTAAATCATCTCTCGGGTCACGTTCCCGCTGCTTTTTTATTGGCAATATTTTCCCTGTTAATTGTGCATGCTCCGTTTTGAAGATCCTCACCTACCTCCTGCTAGGCGCCTCGGCGCGGAATATTTCTGCCTCCTGTGCTGCTCCACTGACATGTTTATGCTTTACCAGTTCCTGTAAAATGCAAGAGTTATCACATTGCTGTTGAAAATCCAGCTGGAATTTTTGTACTCTAAACACAGAAGCATTATTGTTTTACTGAAATAGATGTTCCTGGAATGAGCCTCATTCCTGCCATTGGAAGGTCTGATGGACAAATGCTTGGAAGCACTACTTGCCCAGTGGCAAAGAGAAAGCATATCTCTTGGCAAGTCCAGATGCCCATTTATACCCAGCAAGCCACACTGTACTTTGTTTTTCCTCATCTTCTTCTCTTCTTTGGTGATCACTCGTGGCTGAATAAGATTGTCTTCCATGAACACAGTCTTAACGGTCTGTCCGTAAGTGACTGTGGAGGCCAATTCTGGATCCACACGTCCTTCCACAGTGGGGACATAAGCTTCCCATTGGGAGTTGATCACGGTGAGGATTTGCCAAGCTTCCCTTCCTCTTTGCTCGTTTCTTCTGGAATAATAATAAAAATAAAATAGTCTCCAGCAGGGCTTTCATGGGGAACTCACAGGAACTCAGTTCCAGCACCTTCCAGGCAGGCACCATTACCATCCTAAGAAAACAAGGGAATTGTTCTTGGTGAGTTCTGGCACCACTTATTCGGGGGGAAATAGCACAGGTCTTCAGTAGGTGCCAGAAGTTCAACCGGGAAGGGGTCTGCCTGACCGCAACTGCAAGGGAGTTCCAGAAAATTGGGCCCAAGTACTGAATGCATGGGACATGGGTGGTGCTGTGGTCTAAACCACAGAGCCTAGGGCTTGCAGATCAGAAGGTCAGCGGTTCAAATCCCCATGACGGGGCGAGCTCCCGTTGCTCGGTCCCTGCTCCTGCCAACCTAGCAGTTCGAAAGCACGTCAAAGTGCAAGTAGATAAATAGGTACCACTCCGGAGGGAAGGTAAACGGTGTTTCCGTGCACTGCTCTGGTTTCACCAGAAGCAGCCTAGTCATGCTGGCCACACGACCCGCAAAAACTGTCTGTGGACAAACGCCAGCTGCCTCGGCCAATAAAGCAGGATGAGCACCGTAACCCCAAAGGTAAAGGGACCCCTGACCATTTGGTCCAGCCGCGGACGACTCTGGGGTTGTGGCACTCATCTCGCTTTACTCATAGCTTTTCCCTTTTCTTGCGAGGAATCCTATTCAGAATAAGGGAATTTCCCTTAAAAAAAGGAAAACGTTGACTGCTATGGCTTAACTGGCCGAGGGAACCGGCATACAGCTTCCAGGCCATGTGACCAGCATGACTAAGCCTCTTCTATTTTCTTTTTTTAAATATTTTTTATTAACAGGCCAATCAAATCATATTAATTCCAAATCACATTAGTTCCAAATTATACAGCCAAATTTTTAAAATTTTATTGGGGGTACCCATACTTCGAGCTCTGAAAGGCATCCAAACATCACTCTTGTTGCTGCTTTAATTACACAGTTCTGTCCAGTTCTGTCCAGATAGTCTCTTTGTTATTTTCCTCATCTTCTTGTTGTTATCATATATTCCTTTCTTTGTGATCTCTGATAATCTTCACAAGCGGGTTGAAAACAAACATATCCTGTGTGGATTTTACACTCTCCAAGAGCCAAATGCAAGTATGTGCATTTGCTTCTAATTCCAATTATATATTTCGAGCTGATGCAAACCAGTGCGCGATTCGGAGACAGCATCCGGGAGAGCCGACTCCACCCGAGGGCTTCGTGCCAAGTGTCCTCACCCCCTTCTTTTGAATCTGGGGGTGAATTATGGACACAGCAGGCAAGGCAGTACCCCCCATTCCCTTGGGGGGCAAGGGAGGCTGCATACTCCCATATCAGCCTCTTAACTACCTCGTGTGGGTCGGAGAGATGTTATTGTTGGCCATCTTCCAATGCGCCCCCTGGTGGCCCTCCCAACTAAGCTGCTTCTAGCGAACCAGAGCAGCGCACGGAAACACCATTTACCTTCCCACCGGAGCGGTACCTATTTATCTACTTGCACTTTGACGTGCTTTCGATCTGCTAGGTTGGCAGGAGCAGGGACCGAGCAACGGGAGCTCACCCCATCACGAGGATTCAAACCGCTGACCTTCTGATTGGCAAGTCCTAGGCTCTGTGGTTTAACCCGCAGCGCCATCCGCGTCCCTTTACTGAATGCATGGCTACTGGTGGAGTCAAGCCATGCATCTGAGCCATAGGGGAACCACTAAAAGTATCTCCCCTGAAGATCTCGGTGATTGGGTGGGGATATAAGGGATCAGGTTAAAGATGCTGAGGGGAACCAAGTGTCATTTAAATCATAGGTGGTCACTGAAGACAAGACCCCCCCCCCAAGGCTCTTGGGGTGGGGTGGGAGTGGATAGCAAAAAAAGCCCTAAAATTCAGAGAGTGGTTTGTTTTTTTAGTGACAGAGGTAAGGACTGTAAAGCACACTGCATGTGAGAAAGGGTGTTTGAAGGATGATCAGTGATATCACTTGTTTCTCAGCTGCTCCTAAGCTGCAAAGTTTTGAATGTGGGAGAAGAGCTTTCAAGCAAGATAAACTGCTGTTCTGCAAGAGCTTGTCTAAGCAAAGCAATAGAGGCTGGCTTAGAGGAGATTTGACTTCACAGAAACATCTCAGGGTGGTCAGAGAACGCCACCATGTGGTTACTTGCCACAAGCTCAGGTGCGGAGGGAATCGAAAGAGCGAACAGGTGCAAGTGTTGTCTCCGGAGAGGAGCACAACGGCTGTTAATGAAGTGAATGTCACGGTGCATCTGTAAGGCAAACAAGCACGGTTTCTCACCTGCTGAAATGCAAGCACAAAGCGATCTCCCCTGGTATGTCATCACTCATGAAGCTCAGTAGCTCAGTCAATAAAGCATGAGACTCTTCATCTCAGCGCCATGGGTTCGAGTCCCTCGTTGGGCAAAAAGATTCCTGCATCGCAGGTGGCTGGAGTAGATGAGCCTTGTGATCCCTTCCAACTCTATTATATATATATATATTCCATTTAATGTTATACAGTGGTACCTCGGGTACCTCATTCTGGAGGTCTGTTCTTAACCTGAAATTGTTCTTAACCTGAAGCACCACTTTAGCTAATGGGGCCTCCTGCTGCCACTGCGCTGCCGGAGCACAATTTCTGTTCTCATCCTGAAGCAAAGTTCTTAACCCGAGGTAATATTTATGGGTTAGCGGAGTCTGTAACCTGAAGCGTATGTAACCTGAGGTGCCACTGTACATTCACATCATTACTATATATTCACATCGTTATTATATATATTATCAGATATCGTATAAATTTACCGTCATACCTCTAGTTACGTTCAGTTCAGGTTACATTCTTTCAGGATACATCCCGCGGCGACCCAGAAGTAACAGAACGGGTTACTACTGGGTTTTGCACCTTGCGCATGCACAGAAGCTTAAAATGATGTCACACGCATGCGCAGAAGTGGTGAATCGCGACCTGCACATGCACAGACGTGGGTTGTGTTCTGCTCATGTTGCAAACGGGGCTCCGGAATGGATCCCGTTCACAATTAGAGGTACCACTGTACTCCAATCCTTTTGGAATACTTGATCATGCTAGTTTTGGATTTTTCCTGTCAGCTTCGCCAGTACTGCAAAGTCCACCATCTTCATCTGCCCCTCTTCTTTCGTTGGTACTTCTTGCTGTTTCCATTTTTGGGCTAAAAGAATTCTTGCCGCAGTTGTTGCACACATAAGCAGTCTTTTATCTTCCCTTGGTACCTCTTCACCCGACGATTCTATGATGGCATAAACCTTAATGGGGTGTATTTAAGTATCATAGTTACCGTAGTTAGTATTCAAGTATCATAGTTAGACCAGGCCTTAGCTTCCTGGTAGCTGGCTACATTCAGCGCAGTTGCCTGAAGGCTTCTGTATCAGAGCTGGAATATGTGTACCAGGAAAAGGAGGTGGATTGTGGGTCTAACATGATGCACCCAGAATGCTGCCTTCCAAATGTTGTTGGACTCCAACTCCCATCAGCTCCAGCCAGCATGGCTAGCAATCAGAGATCATGGGAGTTTTAGTCCACAAAGTCTGGAGGACACCAGGATGGGGAAGTCTGGTCTAATGGTTGAGAGACCTCATTAATGCTTAGAATTCAGGCTTTCTACTTCAGAATTAAATGAACGCATGAAGGAGGAACAGTCCCCCTTTCTTGGGGTTTACGCCCACCCCCCTTTTGGAAGCTAGAAGGGTTTGCTCTCTACCCGGTAAAGTACAAGCGAGTTGGGAGACAGGAAGTGGGAAGAGCGTCAGTTCGTGCTACTTCCTCTTTCAGCTCTCTAGTTTTCTATCACACTGGCATCAGTATCCAAAAAGAAAGCAGATCCAGAATGTGACCTGGAAGGATCCAGATATGATCCAGAAGGAAAACATTTGAAAAGATAAATTGAGGCGGGGGGACCAGATCAGGGAGGAGAAAATATTGCTTCTTTTCTCCTCTTTGGGTTTTAGGCGACCCTTGGTTCCTCCTCCTAGCTTTAAAAGAGGATTAAACAAATTCATGGCTGATATGATAATTTAAATTAAAATTTATTTATTATACCCCGCTGATCTGACTGGGTTGCCCCGGGTACTCTGAGTGGCTTCCATTTTCCCTTCCTTCCCTTCCCTGGGTCCCTCTTTTGTTTCCTCCCCCTACAGCCTGGGTCTGTTTTGCCATGAGCCCCACAATCCTTTGCTTATGCTCTTTTAATGCACAGAGGGGTTTGTGTGAACCCGTACCTCTTTTGTTGTCTCCCTCACTCTCAAAACACAGGTTGTATGCTCATGAGAGCAAGGAGCCCCTGATTTCTAATGTTTCTCAGCAAACTGTAAGGCACAATGAGAGTGCTGTATGAATCAATGGACCGTCAATGACCATCATTCTGAGTGGTCCGTTTCCCCCAGCTGCATCCATTACAAGTTAGCAGCGCAATCAACCAGTTCAGCAGCTAATAACATCCTTACCATCAGAGGGCAGCAGATCACTTCGTATGGTACATTGCAACAAGACGAAGTTATTTAACTACAGTTAATGGCAAGACATTTTATTTGCTCATTATTCACCTGCAAACCCTTGCTCTTTTCAAGAAAAGATACCTGCCATGCTTCACTTTTTGTAAGGAACATCCTAAATGTGAAAGCCATGTCTGCTCTTCAGATGCTGAGAGATATTAAAATGTCAGGTACTGTAAAAACAGCACAAGAAAAATGAAGATCTTTATGAAAGCCAACCTTACTATTGCTGTAACCCACCCTGGGACATACTGGTGAAATAATCTTCTTCTTCTTCTTCTTCTTCTTCTTCTTCTTCTTCTTCTTCTTCTTCTTCTTCTTCTTCTTCTCCTGTATCCCCAACTGCAGGTGATAGTCATTTGAATAAGTCAACCTCAGATTCATTTAAGCATGCCAGACTCAAAGAGATCTAAATTTTGGAATGATTAAGGTCATCTATTTATTTTAGCACCGCTTTTGGAACTGCGTGAATGACTATGACTAAGTGCATTTATCATCATTTATCATCATCATTTCGATGCAAAGGATTTTGAAAAGGTTGCACCAGAAATGAGTGGTCAAATGTCACATCCTGAACTTCACTGCAGAAAATAAGAAAAAGCTTTAAAGGATGGGTAGGCAAACTAAGGCCCAGGGGCCGGATCTGGCCCAATCACCTTCTAAATCCGGCCCACGGACGGTCCGGGAATCAGTGTGTTTTTACATGAATAGAGTATGTCTTTTTATTTAAAATGCATCTCTGGGTTATTTGTGGGGCCTGCCTGGACCAGCCCCCTGCTGATAAAGTTTGCTGACCCCTGCTTTAAAGAGTACACCAAGGTCCTGAGCATAAAGTCTGATTTCCCAAGTGGATATTTCCCTCCCAATCCCAGCGGATTTCCAAACCCACCCCCCAAAAAAAGTTCCATAAGGAAATGAGAAATTGGACTCTAGCCTTGTATTCATTTCCATCCTCTTTCCACGTCATTTCAAGTAATCCAGGCCTCTGATCTGCCGCAGAGCATTCCTCCACTCCAAAACCATGTGTGCAATCATGAAAAATTGTCTCTGTAATCTGAGCCTCTGTTTCCCTTCAGCTTTTTTGTTTTTTCATTTGCTCAGTCTTGTGGGAAAACAAGCCTTCTGGGCAAAAAACCCACACAAAAACCTGCATGCCACCATTCCATCTGCATCCTCACACCAGTCTGATTGTGAGGTTGAGCATCACCCAAGTTTAGCCATATGCAAACGTCCCGGTGCAATTGTGAAACCCAGGGTTGTTTGTGCACAGAAAAGAAATACAGAAGAGGTGGTATTTGGCTCAGAAATCTCCTTCCTGATCACCAGCTTTCTTTCTTCTTCCACTACCGCCCAAGTTTCTAGTCCATGGGGTTGTAAAGATATGTTTGGAAGCGCATGGGCAATGTCTACTAAAATTCCAGAAGTGAAATGCGTGGCTGAATTAAGACAGGCTTTCAGTATGCAGCGAGAGTTGCTGCAACTTTCCTTCCATAGAGGTTTTTCAGCAAAGGTCGGGTGGCCATCTGTCATGAATGTTTTAGCCACGATTTCTGCATTTTAGGGGGTTGGACTAGATGACCCTTGGTATCCCAGCTCTAACACTCTCTTATTCTACAAGTTGTGAAGGGAGAAGATTTGAAACCTGCTGGTGTAGATTGCAGTAAAGGTAAAGGTAAAGGGACCCCTGACCATTAGGTCCAGTCGTGACCGACTCTGGGGTTGCAGCGCTCATCTCGCTTTATTGGCCGAGGGAGCTGGTGTACAGCTTCTGGGTCATGTGGCCAGCATGACTAAGCCGCTTCTGGCAAACCAGAGCAGCGCACGGAAACGGTACCTATTTATCTACTTGCACTTTGACATGCTTTCGAACTGCTAGGTTGGCAGGAGCAGGGACCGAGCAACGGGAGCTCACCCCGTCACAGGGATTCGAACTGCCAACTTTCTGATCGGCAAGTCTTAGGCTCTGTGGTTTAACCCACAGCGCCACCCGCGTCCCTTGTAGATGGCAGTAGGAAACATTTAATGAACTCAAATGGCAATAATGCCTTTAAATTGTCTGTGTCCTTTAAGAGTGGGGAGAGGGATTTGGAATGCCTTTCCACACCCCACATATGTTAAAAGATCACTTGTCTGTTCCTCTTGAAATCATGGATAACCAAGAACGCCACAGTAGGCAACAGCTGCCAGGGCGTGGGGCATCAGTCCCTCCCAGACTATTAAATCTCTGGGTATATCACAAGGAATATGATGTAAAGACTCGCAGCTAGAGGACTGAATTCATTGCAGCTGTTGTTATTACTGCGAGCCAAGAATGGGGCAGCTGTAGGGGGGATGATATGAAACGGTGGGTTGTTAGCATCGCTCAGGGTGGGCCGAGGTGAGATGGCTTCCTTGGGGGACAAGCATATTTCTTTCACGGAATAAAACCCAGTGGGAGAAGTTGCTAACACTGCTAGGATTTAGATGCCTGGGATCTGATGCCGGATGCTGGTATGCGTGCGTGAACCAAGATCACCAGCGTTAGAAACAGGTTATGTACAATTTTTTCCTGGTGTTTAGTCAGAATCTCCTTTATTCAGCTCATAGTAGTGAGGAATGAAAGTTCCCCCAAAATATCTGCTTTATATTATTACTTACACAATGGGCCACATGTGATTGGCTAATTCTGGGATTCTCCTGTAGGCCAATCATGTTGCGGATTCACTTCCACCTGGAGCTGGATTGGGTGGCTCCTGTGGACCAATCATACTGCTGCATTGTTCTAGGACCAATCAGACTGCTGCATTCTGGACCCTATTGTTCTAGGACCAATCAGACTGCTGCATTCTGAATCCTATTGTTCTAGGACCAATCAGACTGCTGCCTTTTGGATCCTATTCAACTCAGTACATAACACGT